CGTAGTAGTAGCACTTCTTCGTCCGTAGAATGCATTGTTTTTTTTTCCCTCCCCCCCTTCCCCCTCGTATCGTCATGCATTTTTTGTTATTGAAGGGCGACGAACGACATCGCTTGGCAAGCTGTCCCAGTTTTTCCAGAATGGAAATGCCAATGAACGAAGCGGCGCAGCTTCTCTTCACTCAGCTTTGGCGGATTTGACCCTTACTGGGTAAATATTCGCTTGTGTTTTTCTGACCCTGTATTGTCCGCTGTCTGGATTATGTCTCTGTGCAAATTGTGCTTGTTTCAGTAAGCTGATGACAAAAGTAGCTGAGACGCAAAACCGTGGTATGGCCTCACTGACGTGCTGGGCACACTGTGCCAATAATGCAGCGATTGACGACGTGATGCAACGAACCAGCCAACTTTTTGATATTTTCACTGAACGGCAATTGCAATTTGTGCGCCACTATACGCATTATGTGCAGGTAAAATGCCTTACTTAGCCTTCAGGACTGTTTTTTGTCGCCTGATCGGTCTTATTCCCATGCTTTGTTCATAGGACAAGAAAATGTCATTTTGTACGCACACAGAAATTGCCTAATTTGGGGAAACCACAACGTGTCATTGTGTCATTTTTAAAATTTTTTTGTAGAGAAATTTTGGAAAAACAGCAGTTTCGCCGGCAGAACTTTTTTATCATCCATCGTAAAGCCTATTTGATTTACCGACATCCGTGTAGGATCACGGAAAGTTGTTTTGAGGATTGGCAAATAAAAAACAGCAAGGTTGCCTGACTTCATGAGTTTCACGAACGACAGATCTAAAACCTGTTTAGGTTAACATGCTCACGTTTTCTAGGTAGGTGAGTGCTGCTCTGATCGTGCCTGCGTAAATCGGAAATAGCCCTAAAGGCACATCTGTTACATGTGCTGTGTATTTGATATTCTCATTGTCTGGAAAGCGAAATCTGTTTTTTCAAATTCTAATAAGTTGGAGTGTCCATGAGTTTATTTGAAAAAAGTAGACCTCTGAATGCTCATTTATTCATCGGAATGAAAAGCCACTGCCTAGACCGCAGAGTATTTGAGTCCTCAGATGTGTAGCGCATATTTCTCAGTTTCTCCTCAGGGATGAAAATTATAAGCAAACGGAGATTATGCTTCCTCTGCTTCTGCTACTGCTGGAATCTCGGCAGATTTTGAGATCGGAAAGCAGTGAAGTGCGAAAAAAGAGTCTGAAAGGTTCTTATGTCACCTGCGCTTGTGAGTGAAATCGATGAAAGGAAAATTACCACTCGGATAGTTTCCGAAAAGAGACTGGGGAAACTGTGGCTGCAAACCGGGAACATGCAGCTCAGAAAAGAAAGCAGGTCGATTTTTGTATAATGAAGGCCACAGCAGGGATCTGAGCGGCCTTATTATCTCCGGTAATACCATTTAGAATGAGAGTGCTAAGAAACAGTTGCATTTTGCAGCAGCTACAAAAAATAGAAGATGCAGAGCGTGTGGTGAAACTTGCAGAGCGTAATGTAGAAGAACTGGATGAGAAGGAGAAGAAGCTGAGGCGGGAAATCCAGAAAGGAGTTTCATTCTTCAGGCAGCGACGTGGTGGTGACATTTACTTGCTAAGGCAAACACTTGAACAGGTACTTCCTTCGCCTCAGTCATAATTAACTTAGTCTTTAGATGCTGGAAATTCAGCTGTGTTGCTGTTTATTATGCGTTTTTGCTGTGCAGTGCTATAGCAGCTATAGCAAGCAAAAGCGCATATTGTCGATAGGTCGTCTGTGTGTATGTATTCGGAAGCGAGTGCATTTTGTCACCCACTTTCCTCTCAGCAACCAGGAAAGCTGTGAGGCTGAAATTTTGGGTATATGTTCCTACGCCGTGTGTCACCCTCCCTTTTTAAGGTCTTTCCTCACAAGCGCCTAGACCCCGCACATGTAATCCCCAAAAAAATGCATATTTTTTTGGCGGGAAACGATTTCGCGAACCAGGCAAGGTACAAAGCTGAAACTCTGCAGGGTTTCAGCTTTGTACCCTTTTTTTGGCGGGAAACGATTTCGCGAACCAGGCAAGGTACAAAGCTGAAACTTCTCTGTGCATGTGCGAGCTAAAGATTTCAAATTCAGCTGTCGTGCACGCTTGTGCAGTGCGTAC